TTCCAAGTGGCTCTGGTGGCTCCCAGTTGTGCCTGAACTAAAAGGAGGCAGCTTTGGAAGACCTCGTGGGAAGAGAGGCTTCAGGAATGTGCAGTTGGTTGAGTCAGTGTCAAGGAAGGGAAGCAGAGATGACTCCGCCAAGTCTGTCTGTCCCACAAAACCTCAAACCCAACCTCCAACGGCCGCTATGCCCCGCTCCAAACCAGTTCTTCCTCTTACACCCCTTATTCATAGGCCTTAGTCACAGGAATGGAAAAATGTTATCAACGAACATAGAAGCCTGAGGAAAGGGAGTAGATGTGAGAAAATGCCTTTCCGTTTCCATCAGAACATTCCTTTTGCAAAGGTATGCTCTTGTGCTGTCACCATGCACACCGACAGCTGGGCCTGTCGCCTGCACTTCTTTGTTTGCCCAGAGCACCCAGTAGTCAGTCAACAAAAGGATATTCTGAAGAACCCTGCCTGCACACACACACACACACACACACACACACACACACACACACACACTAACAACTAACAGGGTGGGCAAGGAGCCCTCGTGGAGTGAGAGTTCAGTATTGGCCCCAACAGAGAAAGACTTGGCGATCTGCTCCCATGAAGATTCGAGCCCAGGAAACCCTGTGGGGCAGTTCTCCTCTGGAGCACATGGGGTCCCTATGTGCTGAAATGGACTTGAAGGCATTTAACCACAAAAACCACCACGCAGACACTCAGCAGGCATGAGAGGCCGTTACTCCTGATGACAGGATGTGGGGTTTTGGATGTCACGGGAGAGGGGCTGGCTTCTGGGGGAGGGGGGGCGGGCTTTATTGCCAGGGACAGAGATAAGGACAAGGACAGCTATCTCTTTGTGAGCTAAGCCCAGCAGCAGATGCTTTTCGTGTATTTTCCATGCTCCACAAATATTTGATTCTTGAGAGATAAACTTGAAAGACTTGGCTGATGAAAAGGTTGTTTCTAAGCATCCAGATTTAAGGGTACTTTCCTTATTACTAACTCTACATTTCAAGACACGCTAAACACGTATTTTAGAAGGCAAAAAATATAATAAAATATGTATTTGTAATAAATGTATAAAGGATCTGTTATGAATTTATAAATATAAATGTATTGTGCTTACAAATATGAATTTGTAATAAATAAAACAGTACTATTAATAATCTTTCAGATAGACTGATCACAATATCTATTTTATTGCATCTCCCGATATAAGGACTTATACAATAATGTTTCCTTAAATAACAGTTCTCATTTAAAAACTCATCCTTCTGGTACTCAAGTGATAGAGAATCACTGAATGGCTCTTTCACTGATATATTTGTTGATGCCACAAACATTTGAGTCTGACAATATGCCAAGTTCTCGTCTAGGAACTCAAACTCAGCAGGCTAACTAGAGGTGCTCCTGGCTTTCAGATCTCTCCAGTGCCAGTGCAGAGACAGGTGGGAGGTAAAACAGAAGTCCCAGGAAACACTGCACTGTCTGTCCTTAAACGCAAGGGTCCATCTTCTGTTTGCTGACTGTCAGGTCCTTGTATCCGATGCACAATCTCCGGGCTGTTAGCTGCATCTAGAGGGAAGGAGCAGGACTAAGCTAAGAACGAATCTACACATGGGGTTCCCCATCCACAATTTCTAATGCAAGATACTTCGGTTACTTCCTGAAAGCAGACGTTACATATATATACACATACATATACATCTATAGGAATAGAGTGCTTAATGATGTCATTGTCCTTAAGAAGTTAAAAAGATCCTAAGTTAGGATATAATATAGGAACTTTGGGTCAGGACAGGCTGGTCCCGACCCAGATCTCCCTGCTCCTCTCTGCTGAGAAAGAACCCTAGAAAGGGTACAAGAGACACTCAAAAGAGAACTCTGAAAGTTGATTGAGAGCAAAAAGAAAGTAGCTGGTTTGGGAGCCCAAGTCGGTGGGACCAGACAGCGGCAGGGCATCTTCTGCCCTCAAACCCACACCTGGGGTTTTCCAAAGCCCCAGTTGAACACGAAAAGGCAGCCATTGCTCCAGATCCAGCAGCAGCCTCTCTGACGATATCATGGGAGTCTTCACCACCAGCAAAGGGAGTCCGATAGGAGTGCCACCCAGAATAAACAGGGACAAGGGGGATGTGTTCCGATGTCCCACTTATCTCTGAGGGATTCTGAGGAGAACAGGCCAGCTATCACCAGCTAGCCATTGGGGAAACTCCTCTGTCCATGAAGCTCAAGACTCCCTTCCTTCAACCCAGAGACGCCAAGGGAGGAGACAGGACCAGCAGAAGGGATGCAGCTAGTGCAAGCAGCCTGGTCAGACCAGAAGGCCTGAGATTCCCCTCTGTCACCCCAAAACAGTGAGGGACACTCGTGGGAGTGCTCTCAGAAAGAGAAAAAGCAACCTTAGGAAAACCCTGCCCCCTGTCAGGTGGCATCAACGGGCTGCGAGGGGCCCCCAATTAACCAAGAAGACCAAAGGAATACCACAGTGGGGCTGCATGGTGACTATGAAAACCAAGGACAAAGGGAAACCTTGAAACCAGCCAGCCAGGTGACACATTGCCTGTCGGCCAACACCAGGTGAATGACTGCACATTCCTCCTGGCGGCCAGGAGGAAGCAGCCTGGTCATTTTTTTTTTTTTCTAGTGCTGAAAGAAAAGAATTTTAACCACAAATTTTATCGACAGTGAAAACAACCTTCAGAAATGAAGGGGGAAATTATATTCTCAAATGAAGAAGTAAAAGAATGTGTGACTGGCAGGCCTGCCCTTCAAGATCGGCTCTAAGAAGTTCTTCCAAAAGAAAAGGAAACGGTTAAAGGAGGAATTTGGGAGCATAAGACAAAAGAACAGTGGGAAGAAGAGTAAAAGGATGAATGCACACCTTAGACTATCCTTCACCTCGTGGATTGTATCTACCATATTCGATGATTCAGAGGAAAATCATAATACTGATACTCAACCCAAAGTTATTTAAAAATGGGAAGGCACTTAAATGGAACGGAAGTCCGCCATACACTTCGTGAACCCCAAACTCAACCCAAGGCCATCAAGTTGATTCCAATTCAGAGCAACACTATCTTGTTGTTGTTTGGTGCCACCGAGTGGGTTCTGGCTGATAGGGACCCTGTGCACAACAGAACAAAACACTGCCCGGTCCTGCGTCGGCCTCACGTTGTCCCAGTGCTTCAGCCCACTGATGCAGCCACCGTGTCAATCCTTCGCATTGAGGGCCTTCCTCTTTTCCACTGCCCCTCGACTGTACCAAGCATGAGGTCCTTCTCCAGGGACTGGTCTCTGCTGACAACATGTCTAAAGCATGTAAGATGACATCTCACCATCCTTGCCGCTAAAGAGCACTCTGGCGGTACTTCTTCCAAGACAGATTTATTTGTCTTGGAAGGGATTTTGAAATTATAAATCTAAGTGAGAGTAGATAGCCTCATCTTTCTTCTGAGAATCAGCTGAGGAATTTGAACCACTAATCTTGTGATTAGCAATCCATTGTGCACCCAACAGCGCCGCCAGAACGTCTTTGTATTAGTGTGGATAGACTAGAGAAAATTTATAGACACTCATAAAGAAAGAGCTTTGGAACAACAAGTGATCTAAAATCAATGGCAAGGAGGGTTCAGGAGGCCTGGTAGGGCTTGATCAAGGGCAATGTAACCAAGAGGAATTACTGAAACCCAAATGAAGGCTGAACATGATAGTGGGACAAGAGGAAAGTAAAAGGAAATGGAGGAAAGATCTAGGAGGCAAAGGGCATTTATAGAGGTCTAAATACAGACGTGCATATGTGAATTTATTTATATATGATGCTGGGGAAATAGATCTATGTACATATATTTATAGGTTTAGTATTAAGGTAGCAGATGGACATTGGCCTCCACTCAAGTACTCCCTCACACAAGAACACTTTGTTCTATTAAACTGGCATTGTATGATGCTCACCTTCCCGATACGATTGCTGAAGACAATATGGGTGCATAAGCAAATGTGGTGAAGAAAGCTGATGGTGCCTGGCTATCAAAAGATATAGCGTCTGGGGCTTAAAGGCTTGAAGATAAACAAGCAGGCATCTAGCTCAGAAGCAACAAAACCCACCTGAAAGAAGCACACCAGCGTGTGACACTAAGGTATTGATAGGATTAGGTATCAGGCATCAAAGACCCAGGACAAAAAAAATCATATCATTGTGAGTGAGGAGGAGTACAGAGTGGAGACGCAAAGCCTATCTGTAGACAATTGGACATCCCCTTACAGAAGGGTCATGGGGAGGAGACGATCCAGTCAGGGTGCAGTGTAGCATCAATGAAACATACAACTTTCCTCTAGTTCTTTAATGCTTCCTAACCCCGCTATCATGACCCCAATTCTACCTTACAAGTCCAGCTAGACCAGAGTATGTACATGGGTACAGATAAGAACTAGAAACACAGGGAATCCAGGACAGATAAACCCCTCAGGGCCAATATGAGAGTATCAATACCAGGAGGTAAAGGGGAAGGTGGGAGTAGAAAGGGGGAACTGATCACAATGATCTACATATAAGCCCCTCCCAGGGGGAAGGACAACAGAAAATCGGGTGAAGGGAGACAGCATTTAGTGTAAGACATGAAAAAATAATAATAATTTATAAATTAGCAAGGGTTCATGAGGGAGGAAAGGTGGGGGAGGGAGGGGGGAAATAAGCTGATACCAAGAGCTCAAGTATAAAGAAAATGTTTTCAAAATGATGATGGCAACAAATGTACAAATGTGCATGACACAATGGATGGATGGATGGATTGTGATGAGTTATATGAGCCCCCAATAAAATGATTTTTTTCAAAAAAAAAAAAAGAGCTTTATATACAAGAGCAATTGAATATTGAGAAAACTTCCCAGCCCAGTCCAGATCAAGTGCATAAGTCTGATATTAGCCCATATGTCTGATACCAATCTATAAAGTACCAATCTCTTCAGACTCACAAAACATATGCAATGATGCCAAATGCAAGAAGATCACAAGCCAGTGGGTGGGAAGTCTTGTGGATCCAGTAGTGTTGTTAGCATCTGAGCACTTGCAGGGTCTCCACGTGGCTCCTCCAGCTCAGGGCACTAGAGTAGCTCCATGTGTCTTGTCAGGTACAATGTCTCCCAGGGAGTGAGCCTGTGTCCCGCCTTCAGCAAGCTATTTACAGCATCTCCTTAGTGCCCAAATTGTGACCTGATTGACAGGCTAAATCACCTTAGCGCCCAAATTGTGACCTGATTGACAGGCTAAACTCCACCCCTTCGCGCTTAATCCTCTCAAGTTGACAACAGATTATATAACTACCACGGTCTTATACCAAACCAAACCTTAAAATTGATACCCATTCATAGCCACTCTAAAGGACAGGCTAGAACTGCACCTGTGGGCTTCCGACATGGTAACTCTGTACGGAGTAGAAAGTCTCATTTTTCTCCTGGCTCCTTATACCCTTCACTCAAAAAAACCAAACTCTCTGCCATAGAGTCAACTGGTAAAAGATTGATACCAGGAGAGTATGAGAAGATACTATGTCTAGTGGAACACTCAGAGCAAACTACTAGAAATGCTACACAAAGTAGTATTTTGTGTAATACTGCACAAAGTCGCTGAACACCCAGGTTTCATTCTGTGAAATAAGATGTTAAAAAAAAAAAAGAAAGAAAGAAAGAAAGAAGATGTTATGTGACTTGGACATTTGTGTAAATAACATATTAAAACCATCTGGGAGCCGCTTCCAGTTGCCCTCATTGCCGGTACTTCCATTGCTGCTGCTATTGCTGCTGCAGAGGCTGCAGGAATGGGCTCAGGATGCAGGGTTGGATGAGTGGGTGGAACAGAAGGAGAGGAAGCAATGGGGAGGGAGCAGAGCCCCATCACCCCTGCCCACTGCTCCCACCCACCTGAGCAGTGGGAACAGCCTGGGCTTTGCAGTCTGCGCCCTAGAGCTACAACCAGCTGTCTGCTGGGCAATCCTGACCACCCAAGTTCACAGCCATGTCCTCTGCCTTACCTCTCTGTATCCCTCCTATGATGCAGTGCTGTAGGTGTCTGGGTTTGGGGTCTGTAAGCCATTAGGGCAGCGGTTCTCAACCTGTGGGTTGCGAGGGTTGAACAACCCTTTCACAGGGGTCGCCCGATTCATAACAGTAGCAAAACTACAGTTATGAAGTAGCAACAAAAATAATTTTATGGTGGGTAGTCACATGAGGGACTGTATTAAAGAGTATTAATTAAGTGGTATTAATATAATAATTAAACTATATTAATACAACATGAGGAACTGTATTAAAGGGCCGCGGCATTAGGAAGGTTGAGAACCACTGCATTAGTGGGAAACACTGAATGCACACTTAAAAATGCCCTAGTTAAATCAAAATGGTAATCCTAAAAGACGTTCAAGTAATTCTCAGGAAGGTAAGCAAAGAAAAACAGGTTTGAGAATCAGAGCAAAGGAATAATAAAATGGCAGACTTAAGGGCTAGCTTATCAGTGATTACCTGTAGGTGTGAATCATCTAAATTTATAGTCAAAAGTCAGAGGTTGGCAGAGTGGGTTTAAAAAGTATGCAAACAAATGTGTTTCAAGTGTATGCAGCTTACAAAAAAAATGCACTTCCCCTTTAATGGCATAGGTAGGTTGACAGTAAAGGATGGATAAAGATAAGCCATACAATCATTAATTCCCCACCCCCAAAAGCAAGAATGATTATGCTAATATCTCATAAAGTACACTTCAGCCCAAAGAAAGTACTAGAGACAAAGAGATGTCCCATAATGCTAAAAGTTCAGTCCAGATGTAAAGGCAGTGAACATATATACCTGACAGGTGGCTGGTGCTTTGCTTAGTAACTACCAGATTATAATCGGCTCCCAGAAGGAAATCAGGTGCTCCACATACACCCTATTGTTGCCACAGATTAGGTGTGGTAGGCCACACTTGCTATTAACTGTTGATTGTGATCACCGTGAGAGCCAAATTCCCAGATGCCAGCCAGGGACCAGCCTTCCGTGCATGCCTAAGGATGC